ATCTTTAGAAGATTGCCATGGTAGAAGGAAGGTTGTAAAATAAATACACACACTACAGCAAGTCTGGTTAAAAGCACTTGTTTATTGGTTACAATATCAATTCATGGCAACATCTTTCACTGAGCCACTGTACAAATACAAAGAAAAGATCCATTGGGGGGGAGGGGGAGAAGCTATAAACAGAGTTCATAGCAAGTGATTTTTTTTCAACAGGGAAGTCTATACAACAGCCCTGTTATAGAACAAGTGGCACAAGTCCTTGTTTTGAATTAGCTTAAATAAAAGCTTTAAGACTGTTTCTGAATACATACACAATCCAAAGGCAGTGCAGAATCACTTCATAATTGGTAACATTACTGAAGTTTTCCATCAAAGTAGTCAGCAACAAGTGAAAGTAAAATTAAAACCATTAGATGAGAAATGCTGGGCAATCAGAGTTAAGTGCCAAATTAAGAGTCAAGCATGTTTAAAAGAAATTAGTTTTGGACTCCTTTGGATGTAATATGTAGTACAAGTGTTCAGATGCTTTTTTTTTAAAAAGGAGAAACAAATAGAGCACCATTGTGTAAGTAAAACAAAGGCTTGAAATATCTAAGACTATTCCACTGAAGTCCATATTAGTCAAAACCTAAACATACTGTGTGGTATAAGAATGTCAGGCACATTTAATCTGTTATCAGTTATAATCAATTATTAACACTGTTCACACATTTACCATAACAACACTGCATTAACATTCTGCATGTATTTTACACAACCAGCAATTGGATAAAAAGGCTTGTGGTGCCTCTGAAGTGTAGGAAGTAGTTTTACCAGCATGCATGCCAGATTACTGTATACAAAGTGCACCATCAACCCATGCTTAATTACTTTTACAGGAAATGCTATCTCAAAATCTGTCATTCTGCTACACAACCATTTCATACCAACTATTTGAATTAGCCAATACCTATTCTCACCAACATTTTAAAGCACAGCACTAAATCTAGTGGAGGTGACAGTGTCCTCAACGAGGAAAGACTAAGCACTCTTGGAATGTTTTTCACAATATCATCATTTCACCCTAAAGTAATGTGAACTTCATGATGGGACAAGTGGTTACATTAACTGAATTAAAGAGTTATCTATTTCCAATCCATGCATTATAGTATGCACATAAGGACTAGCTGGTATGTCAATTCAGCACTGCCAAATCAGGGTCAACCTCTCTCCTCAGAAGAAAGCAGTTCGAATGAGTTTTTCTACTCCAAAAGGACTACTGGACCAGCAGTTCTGTTAGAAACTTATGTGACATTCAGCAAGGCAGATGGTAATGACATTTAGGAGGAAAAGAGTCTACAGAGGGTTGAAAGGAGATACACACATTACCCATACTAAGTGATCTCGAGGTCCCTTCCAGTCCTAGCATCTATGAATCTATGAATCTATGAATGTACATTAGCACAATGCCATATCAAAGCTTTTTGTGGTTTCTAGAATCTCACCCAGTATTTTTACTAATAAAGTGATAAAGGCTGAGTATACCTGGGAGCAAGTTCAAACTGGAAGTTTGCTTGATCAGTATCCTTCACCATAAAGCTAATCAGCCTTATAAAAAAAAAGTGGACGACAGCAGCTGTACCTGAATTAATCTGTAATTTCATCTGAGGCACATAGTTCCAGTTTCCAAGTGACAGCTTCAACCCATTACATTTTTGCTAGGCCATTTCTTTTAAAGTACATTTAAACACTGATTTAATATTAGAACAAAGCCTGGAAAGAGGTTACTTTCCTATCAATTACAACTTTTTGGCACAATAGTCATAACTGGTTTTAGTACTAAGTATTACTAATTCCAAAATCTCGTAAATATTTTTGTAACCACATAACATATTTGAAATTAAGATCGCTCTACAGTTTGGCAGTCGTAAACTTTTCACAATAGTTTAATGTGTACCCCATTGTGCTGTAAAATCCACTACCTGTATTAAACTAGTTCACCTGCATATCTGAGCTTATATTAAGCTACAGGTATAGATCTTTTAGTCTAAAAATACCCATGGAGACCTTTTCTCTGAGATGCAGGAGTCTGGATGAAAGCTTTCAAGTAAAACCTGCAAATGGTGGCTTATAGCAGAAGATGGGATTTGGTGCTTGGTTTAAAATTAAGCTGCAATTAACCTCTATCTTAATGAGTGTACCATCTTGAAAATTCACCCATAAGCAATGCTTAAAAAAAACTGAAATTGCTCATATAGGCCCATTATAGGACCTCAGTTTAAGATGTAATAAATGTCCTACTACTATACATGCTTTAAAAAAGGCAAACAATCCAAACAGACTTATACCAGGACTCCAACAGTAGCCACTATTTTGGTGTACATTCGCCCCAGGAGTTAAATATTTCCTCGGGTGTTGACATCCCGTTACCCTTTTAGAAACCTGATTTACTTACAAGTTAGACAGCAAACATCTATACTGCAGTATAAAGGGAAATAGTTTATGATATTTAATGGCAAGTATGGGAAGTCACTTTACAACACTGGCAACTAGGAGGTCACTTCAAGATGCACCTTTAATGAGAAACTATTTAGTAATTTAAATTTTTCCTCTAAGAGTTTACTAGCAAATTTTCAGAATGATTCACTCAAACCAGAAGCAGCTACAAGTTTAAAAATCAAAGGCACCATTAAAAAATATCAAGTGTTCTGCCTGACCTCAAAGAGCTGCCCTCTTGGAAAAAGATACAAATATTCCATAAATAATTCTGTTAATGCAAACAGATCAGAAAACAAAATAATCTTGCTGAAAAGAAAATGCAAATGAGTTTCTGTGATCTACAGCATAACATGATTTTGGTCCTACACCATAATCTGCCTTTAGTAAGTGTATACTGCTCCAGCACGGGATGTGCTTTTTAACGGATACTTAATTTACTACAGTTGGCACATTTATTGGCACCTCCACCGTTGTAAACATGGCATATTTACAGGCACAGTCCGGAAGTACTGAAATTAGAATTACAAGTGGTAGAAACTTCACAAACAGTGGTCTCAGCAACAATCTCTTTTCATATTACAGAATGCTGGGCACTTATGTTCACAAACTGACCCAAGGACATTTGGATACATCGCACCTTCAGGTGGGGGCAGCAGATTAACATTAACTTTCAGCTTTAGGGTAATTTGTTTAAATACACACATTTAAAATAAATCACTTTCGAGAAGCCAACAGAGAATGGCCCTTTCCTGAAAGTATCAGGTACTTTCATGCCCAACTCAGATTCCCCCAGGGACATCCATCACAAACATGGACACGCTGCCAGCACCAGAGTTAAGTGATCTTCATGGGTAGTTTCAAATGGGTTTGAGTCACATGATTGGTCATATACCTACACAATAAGAAAATGCTTACTAGCTCAAGTGCTCTCAGTGCCTTCCATTTTATAAGTGAATCATATTAAGATCAGGCATATAAAAGGAAATGACTATTTACTGTCAGTTTGCAGATTGGCATCTTATTAGATGCCAAAGCATAGACCACTGCGGTTGTAAATGAACTAGCAGGATTTTAAATTTAGAGTGCAACGTTTTTAGAGGGATCATAGATATTATCAAAAAGGTTATTGTTCATTGTAGGTAACATGGTCACTTCAACCATTACACAAGACAAGCATGTTCTTTTGTGAAATGTTAGGGTGAACCTCTAACTTTGCAGTTCTAGTAAGGGATTCACTGTACTTCCTAAGCCATCCGTAGGAAGCCTTCATAGAGAAACCCTCTTAAATCTCTTCATTTGCTGTAGTAGTTGAACAGCAACTTTGAAGAAATGGTAAAAGTGTACACAATTTATTCAGTCAACTCCATGCTAGAATATCACCTTGCTAGCGCATGGCAGCTGGAGTTTGCAGTGGATCAGAATCCTCTCATTTACAACTCCACTGTCAAAAGGAAAAAGCACTCACCCACTTAGTGACAGTAATGTGTTACTTGACTTATGTACTCTGTTCTTCTGATGCCAGCGTGTTAAAACCTTATTTTTTTATATTACATATATATGTACCTAATGGCATTAACATTCTCTTGGTGCTTGGAGGCCATGGCTGCTGATGGATGAACCAGGAACCACTGGCTGGAAGGAGTAATCCCCATGCTTAAATAGACAAATAGGTCTAGAAGTGAATAAGTAAGGCGCTAGGTATTACCACGGTCATCAGGGCCTTTTTAAAAAAAAAAAAAAAAAAAAAAGGTAAGTAATTCAAATGCCTTCCATTATAAAAACACATACATACCATTGGCTTCACTTTATCTACAGTAAATTCACAAAAGCGTTTAAAACAGCAATCTAGTTCATCCACTACAGAACTCAGAAGTGACATCTCAGGTTAAATGCAAAGCTATAAATGTAGTTCCTTAAAAAATGCAAACATATTTCTTTACATACAGACAAATGTTACATGATTGGCTGCTATAATGTGTATATTCTGTTATGTACAAAAAAAGTACAGAATTAGCAGACTTTGAGCACAAGCAGAAATCCCTCGAGGACAATCTAACCAAACCACCAAAAACAAAAAAGACTGGCTCTTAGTTTCTCAGTCACCATGATTATGTGTGCTGGCCTGGCCCCTTTTTAAAAGTCAGTGATTTCTCCACCCCCACCCCTATTTCTTCACTTGATTTTTTTCTAGTTTACAGAAAGCCTTTTTGTGTAATAATCAGTGAATAGAAAAACTTCACCTGCAAATACAAGGTAGAAATGTTATTTCACAGCTATAGGCTGCAGCATTGATCTCTCCAGATCTCAATGGAGAATGTACATGTTTGTCTCCCAGTTAATTCCAGATTCTGAGAAAACTGTCCCAAGACCCTGTAGCTACAGCCATGCCATCATCAGTAACACCTAAACAGCTGACACGGTTGTCATGGCCTGCAAGGACACCTGGAAGAGAAGATGGAGGAGGTTAACAGCGGAAGCTTTTCAAGTTTTGTACATTACTTTTCAGGTTAAATTCACCTCAAGACATCCTGGAAGAGGTTTTTGTTTGTTTTTAAGAGTGGTTAAGTGACAGAAGAAGTCTCCTCCTCTATGTTTTATCTTAAAAGCAATATTAGCTCCTCAACATTATGAGTTAGCTCCTATCTTGGGAAGTCCTGAACCCTTGAACCAAATATTTTAACTATTTTGCATTTGGATTTTCCCATTATATAATAAAGTAAATAAATAAATCAGAGGTGCTGACAATGTCTATAACCAAAACCAGACACGAAACCACTTACTGTACACAACAGAAAACCTCACATCTCTTTTCTAAACATCACTATTACCAGATCTGAAATTATGAAAAAATAAAATGCAAGAAAATAGGGATACAAATCCAAAAGTAAACCTTTACGTTGAGTAAAGGAAGAAGAGAAGATTTCACAATTCAACAGCAGCCGCAGGTATCATCACTGACTACCAGTGAACTAGTTTTACGTTTAGAAGTTACAGTAAGTGGAATGTGTTCCATGTTGAGATCCTGCTAAAGAAAAAGAACTGCAACTCACTGCAGATACCATTTACCAACCTGCTCTTTCCCCCTTCAGAGTATCCCACACATTGCAGTTGAAGTCATCATAGCCGGCTAGCAAGAGACGACCACTTTTTGAGAAGGCTACAGAAGTGATTCCACAGATGATATTGTCATGGGAGTACATCATTAACTCCTGATCTGCACGCAGGTCAAAGAGTCGACAAGTGGCGTCATCAGAACCAGTCGCAAATGCATGTCCATTGGGGAAGAACTGAAAATGAAAATGAGACAGGAGTTTGACACCAGAGAAAAAAGTGTTGCTCATGCACGGTTTCAAAAACAGCATGTAGAGATTGTCTTTACTGAGATATTCAGATACAGCACAATTTCATGAGCAAAAAGAAAAAAAGACATAAAAATGGATGGTCAATAAAATGCAACTGTTGTGCACACACAATTGTGTTTAACCCTTGTAGCATAGTACTGACCGAAAGACAGGTGCATTCAAACTTTGCCCAGCCAAAGGCTTCATTGGCAAATTTCAAGAGACAGAGGGATGCAACTAATTAACCACACATCTCATGGAGTGGAGCATAGCCATTTTTTTCTTTGGCATGAGCCATGGAGACTGGCCTGTACACAATGTTCCACCTTGAGCTGGTCAGTCAGGTTGCTTGGATCACAACAGAGGACTGCAAGCAGGCACTTCAGCCTCCAAAATTCACACCTACTAAATAATCCGTATTAAGCACCTCATTGATTTAAATGTCAGTGAAAGGTACCAAGCACATTTCAGGATTAGACCCAAGCGTATGGGCTGCATTTCTCCACAGATCATGCTGCTGGTATTCCAGAGACGTAAGAATTTGCAGTGTTTATAAAAAAGATGCAATGTAGGTTTAGATTTTTTTATTTTTTTTTAAATTAGTGGAGATATCCTATCTCCTAGAACCGGAAGGGACCTTGAAAGGTCTTCGAGTCCAGCCCCCTGCCTTC